CGGCCCCATGGCAAAGGCCCAGGGCTGGAAATCCAGCCGCACACACGAGTGGGCAGAACGCTCTCCTGTTGCAGATCTCCAGCGTGCAGCTACGCGTGCCGGGACCTGCCTGTGCACCGCCTGTCCCAGCTTGGCGTGGTCTGCAGGAGGCACTTCACGGGACGGAGGTGGGTCGTTGCCATTTGCTGAGGACACAGGACTCATGGTGAGCCACCCCGGCTGATCCACCTTCAACAAGCTCAGTCCTTGGAGTGGGACTGAACCAGCCAGCAGACAGGGACCAGAGCCCGTTTGGGGCTTTGCTCAGCCCTGTTTCGCTTTTAGCAGGTGATGGCTCAAGATCACACCTCTCCCTTCTGTGCCTTAACATAAAAGAAAGAGTTTGGTCCTAAAGAAAGTATTTTTTAAAAGAACACAGGGAAAGTACTGATTTACAGGTTGAGACCCTCCACTGGGGTACAGCTGCAGTCTGCACCAGGTTATCAAAACTGGAGAGAGATGCATGAAGCTCTCTGTGACCTTGCAGAGCCCCAGGTCAGCTGCAGAGCGAGAGCCTGTCCTCTCCCCAGTTAGCCCAGCAGCCCGTTCTGTTTTCACTTTCTTTCCTAACCATCACTTATTTCCTTCTGCGGTGGTTCACAGACGAGAAGCATCAGTCTCCCCGTCTCTCCACCTCTTTTCCAGCCATGTGACTGAGCACTCCCTCCATCAAGTGAAACTTTTCAGTCCCCAGGAAACCTTGAATTCCTTTCCACCCGCTCCACGGTGAGAAGCAGCATCTCTCAAACCTGCAGCTGTGCCGGCCATGGGGAGGAGTGCACAGCAGTTCATCTTGCTAACCTTCGCGTGTGGTGAGTAATGTCCTCCATCATTTCTATCAGAAAAAGGAGATAGACTATGCTAGCTTTGTTTCCTTGCAGTCCGGACAGTACCTAACAGACTGAAAACTTTAAAAAGATTTGTTGCTAACATGAAGGGTGCTTTTAGTAAAGTCCCACTGCTAAGAAATAACTATAACTATGTTTAATTGCAGCTGGTATAGACTTAGTCTGATGTTTTCCTGTGTATTTTCCCTTGCATAAAATCTGACTGTGTGATGGAGTAAGCTCAAAATAGTACTAGAAGCAGGCTTTTTTGGGCTTGCTTTTCTTAATTAAAAATAATTCCCAGACCAGCAGAATTGACTGAGGGTCTTGAGTGAGATAAGCAGTAGAAAAACCAAGGAAGCCTTGCTTGACTCACTCATTTTTCTGCATTGCGAGATGCAGGGCACGATCAGGAAAGCAAAAGTGAGGCGGAGGGCCTGGGGAAGATGGGGGCAGGCTGGGGCTTAGCCCCAATGAGAAACCAGATCAAAGTCACCGTTCAATCCTTAATGCTGCTCTGTGGCAATCTGGGGAGCTACCCTGGTCAAGGACGAGTCCCAGCGTGTTAAGTCATCCCTCAACACCCGCAGCACTACAAATTCTGCCTGGTGAAGAAGGACAGAGCGTGATTTAATCCATGTAATGGCTAAAGGTTTGAGCTCGCTGGTGGGGGCGCTGGGTTTCTCTGGTGTGTTTTGCCATCGGCACACAGGGATCGCACAGGTAACAACCCCCGTCTCCCTCCCAGCTCTGCTGGAGCAGGGCGGTGAGCCGGGAAACAGCCCAGGGAGTTGGCCCCAAGCAGCTCCTGCCGTATCTGCTCTGCTGTCCCACTCCCGCTTCGTGGCCAGAGGCTGCTGAAGTAGCCCCAAAACGTGTACATGAAAGGAGAGCAACATCAGACTGAGAGAAGTAACATTAACTCCTCAGTGGTCAGCACGGATCTTTTTGACCAGGAAGAACTTGTCTCCTCAGCTCCTTATCCATTTTTGATTGTTCCTTTAGTAGTTTGTTGTGATGTTTTATTAATGGCACAAAGTCAAGTCTATCTGTGCAGATGGGGAATTAAAAATAATTAAAGTTTAAGGGATATAAAGTCTTAATGGTTGGAGGTTTAAGAAACTGCTCCTGCATTGGAGGGAAACTACGACAGTACCGAAACCTCTCGGAAAATCTTGGTGCTTTTCCAGTTCCTCAAGGACTCAAACCAAAGCAGGCGGAGCTGGCGAGAGTGTTTTCAGTGATTATAGGAGTTGGGTCAGGTTTTTGTGTCCACACAAAATCAGTCAGCTAAATACGAGTTTTTCTTCTGGGCAGCATAAAGCGGAACAAACCTGCTGGGTGGCCGAGCAGCATGAGTGTGTGGTTAGACGAGACGGCAAAAAAATCCCCAGCGAGGGGGGTTTTTTTCACCCACCCCATTACAGGATGGCAGGCAGAGAAATGTCACAGCCAGATCATGGCACTGAGTGCTCCACTTCCCGCTGTAATCCTGGGAGCAGAGCAGTGATGTCCCGCTGCTGGCATTGACTGAACCTCCCTGATCACCAAAGCATGAAATTGGGGTCTCCGGGCTCAGATTGGGGACAGCAAATTTCTGAGAGCTGCCCTGATCCTTTTCTGAGAGTTTTGTTCTGAAGCGTTGCGTGCATGGAGGCTTGCTGGGCAGAAACGCAGCCCTCAGCATTTGTAACGCACAACTTTGAAGCCAAGGTGAGACGAGGGGATTGCAGCTGCTCGCTCCAGGAGGATACACCACAGGGAGCACACATCCCTCAAGCAACATAATGGTCTGTGAAGTTTTGAGCTGGCCTCATGGATAAAAAAAGAAAGATAACAGGGGGATGCAGAGCTGCAATTCTTCATTTTTCTGTGGTGCCTTTTGCCGGCAGAGCCATGAAAAGGGCTGGCGGGGGGAGCTGTGCAGGCGGCTCCTTTGCCGAGCTGTGCCAGGCTCCCCGAGAGGCAATGCTGCAACGCTGAGGGAGCCATGGTGAAGCCTTCCAGGCCTTAGTTGGAGGGTAGGTCAGGCATCTCGTGGGCCACCTGCCCTTTGGCACAGCAGAGGTACTGAACTACCTCCAACAGCCACCCAAGAAGAGCCAAGATCATCAGGTGCAACCAGAGAGCAATCCTGACCCATCCCAGGGAGCTCAGGTGGTCAAATGCCTTTTGAAAAGACGACCCAAGCCAACAAGTTTAGCAGCATGGCCATACCCTGACAGAGGCTCCAAAATCCTTGGGAGAGCCGTGGGAGACTGGAGGAGTGGCCCAGCAGGTCACCTGGTGAGCAGGAGCCATGGGCCACCCCAAAGGCATTTTGGACTTTACCCCTCAGTGACCCTGTCAGGCTGAATGTTTCTCTAATGAAAAATAGATTGAAATGACCTTTTGGGGGAAATGAAGTTTCATTTAAAAGCTATGGGTGGCATCCAAGTGTCAGTGAAATCATGTTTCTCCCACAGCTGTAAGTGTTATCTGGTCACTAATTGAGACCAATCTGTTAACTAAAAACTAAGAATTACTGACTATTTAAGACTTGTGTAAATTTAAATATGTGTTGTTTTGCAGTCCTATAGGGGAAAAAAGAGTGAAAATTGCAACTTCTTCTTTTTTGTTTTTATCATGCCAATACACTTAGATGCAATTACCTATAGCTGATATATGGCAACCGCTCTGATTTTCCACTGGCACGCAGAAGGAGATAACTTATCTGCTTTTCAGTTCCGCCAGGAGATGTGGTAAAGTCTAGGGGAAAGTGAGAAAATGAACTAAAGTATCATATTAATTATGACATTTTTACAGTCCTTCTGATAATATTCACAGAGGGATCTGTGCTGTCATTTTTGAGGCTTTTCAACTGTATCAAGGTACACTTCTTTGATGATAACAGCTACGCTGGCAGTCAAGTGTATTCTGCACAGCACAGAGGTGAAACCCAGGCGGTTTTAGGAACAGGGCGTATACATCTACGTTTCTGCTCTTCTCTAGCATAGCCAATTTTAAGGGAAAATTGTGGTGTGGGTTCAGATCTATAGTTCTGTTCTCATTTCTTTGGTTTTGATCTTGAATTTGATTCAAAACCCAGTAGGTTTTATTATTCTTACTTAGTGTATATGATTTATCCTAAAATGGTGAGATTTTGTGAATGCAGCTATTGTTGCAGATCGCCGTTCATGCTAAGTGAAAATAAATAAATGAAAGGAAGATGAGCTTGTGAGATTTCAGCCATTTCCACTCTGAATGTACCTCTCGCCTTAATTGATGCTAAAATCTGAGTCTCAGCAACCTGCCTGCCACAAACCTCTGACACCAATTAATGAGAAATTTCATGCACATCAAGGAACACATATATGTCAGTAATTTATGATTTCTTTTATCTTGACCTTGTCTTTACAGAGTCTTGTTGCATACTTAAAATCAAAGAGTCAAGCAGAAGAGTTGTGACCTTCACCTATTCTACAATGTACTTTTTCCACTTTTTATTCACTTCATTATTTACAATTTTCTTCACTTCGTTATTTACATTTAGGAGCCAGATATTTTCTTTTCAGTTCTGCAAGGGACATGTTTCTGTAAATGTTATAAGATAGAAACGTAATTTTGGTGCTTGACTATTTTTAGATGTGGTCCAAAAAGCCCCTGGATGCTGCACCCTGAAATTTGTTTCTCATTGCTGAAAGGGCATCACTACAGGGCTTGTTTGGGGCATTCCCTTGGGTACCTCCCAGGAGGAAGAACTTGAGGGTTCAAGCTGGCATGGACACATTATCACTATAAATAAATACCTGGAATTTCCCTGTCTCCCAGACTTGTTTCCCAGACTATTCTGAATCACTCTAAGACCACTACGCTGCCTCACTTCCTTCACACAGAAAAAATGTTCCCTTTCCCCATGCTTTGTTGGTAAGTAACCAACCACCCCTTCACTGTAACACTCCGGCATCCGCTGCATCTTTCTTAGATCTCGAGAGTTTTCTTCTAGCAAAACTTGTTGTGCTGCTGCCTGCAAGGGAATTCTTGTGCTGCCTGGGGATTGTGCAAGGTCTGCTCACGCCTCTGTCATCCTCTGGCTTCTTCAGCAGTAAAAGCTGTGGGGAGCCAGCAGCCAGTGCACTTCCACTGTGATGGGGATATCCAGAGGTGTGAAGACTGGGGGAGTGGTAAAAATTTATGGATAGTCCTACAGCATGTCTGCTTTCACTCTCCTATCATGATTGGAGCCAAATGAGGAATAAATCATATCACCCATTTGATGACAAAATCAATGCAGTTATGTCATGGGTATTAACAGAAATGTTAAACATAAAGGTTTCTAGACTACTGACTGACTTGGTTTTTTGCAGCATTTTCCTCCTGCTTTGCCGAAGTGGCCCTGGGGGTTGAACTGTCTCCAGAAACCACATCCTTCCACCATACAGCTACTTCTGCTCAGCCACTTTCCCTTTATCATTCTTCACCCCATCAAGGCACCACAGTTCCTTCTAACAGCACAGGCTCTCTTAAAACAACACCCACAAGCCATAGAACGACCGTGCAGACAACAGACCAGCGTCAGGTAACAACAGCACCAGGCCAGCACACAGCAGCACAGGCAGGAGCAGA